AAGGCGGGATAGTCTGGAGTGGGCGGTGCCTGGAGAGGGTTTCGGGGCTCACCACAGCAGCCTCAGTTTCTTGGCTGGTGGTGGGGACTGCATAAGTGGTCTGCAGTGTGGGCTGATAAGGTGTGGTCTTTACTCGATAGGACAAGGGCTCAAACCTTCTGTCGGTTGGGGGCCCGCGAGCGGTACTACCACAAACTTTGTAGTTAACGTCAAAAATCGTTAGATATGTGTTGTGTGGTTGGGTGTCTTGTGTGTTGTGATTGGGTGTTATATTCAAGAGGTTAAAACTTCACGATAGAACCACAACACAACGCCAATAACATAGGCCGTCTAGATGATGTACCTGGAACTAAGGTACGGTGCAGGGGAAATCTCTTGAGCGTTGGAGGTTGTGTAGTGGGGGTGGGGCTCAGGAAAAAGAGTCTGAGGAGGAGTGAAAACTCCCTTTGCGGTATGAAAATTGAAAAGGGAAGGAGATCAATCAACGAGGCAGCACGGCAATGGACAAACCACGATAGGGGCAGAGCACACGCATTAAGAGAGACGAGGCTAATAGGATGAGGCGAACAGGAAGGATAATAAAAGAGAGGGAAATGAGCAGGGGAAAAAGGAGGAAAAATGGGTAGGGGAAGTAGATTAGATCGAGGAGTAAGCGCGTATGGCTGAGGGGAAGCGAAGGGCTAGGGCCCAGGGACTGAGGCTGCACTTTTCTCTAATTATTGATCTTGGTGCTAGTGCGACGGCTCGAGTACCGGTAACAGTGCTAGTAAGAATCTACGAGACACACTAAGATAAGGAAAGTAGTATGGGAGGTCCAAAATATCGAGCACCCAAACACGGTTTGCATAATAACTAAGCATGATGGAAAGAGCTTCGAGTAGCAAAAGGACGTTAACGATCGGGACTTCCATAACCGATTCAGTGTGACATGCTCATATATATAAATACGGGAGATCAAATAGTCCTATATATACAAAGAAAAGAGAGAGGCGAATAAGAAAGAAAGGAGAAAAAAAAGGAACAGATCAGAAGCAATAGTTCGAAAGGAAAGGGGAGAGGGAAGTAAATGACGTAAAAAGAAGAGTGCTTAAAGGAAAGGAAGAATTAGAAGTCTAGGAGATTACCCGATATTGGACAGCTCGGGCACAGGGGTAAGAACAACGTGCTGTAAAATGACATTTGCCTAAACGACAAAGTGGAAGAATGGAAAGAACCTGAAAACGGAATAGAGGAACTAATTAACTTAAAGAAGATGAAGGGAACACAACAAGGGGAACAGCGGCGGTCGGCAACTATAATATCTCATCCAGGCAAATAAAAACAACAGAACACCCGCAAAAAGAGGGTATCTGTGCCGGCATAAGGAATCCAATTTGGCTCTCTAAGACAAACTCCTTCAGCCCATCACCAACACAGGACCACCAGAAGACCCTCACCGAACAACCGTGGAGAACAAATGTCATTGACATTGTAAAGAGCTCACAAAGAACCTCTTGTCGTCTACCCAAAACCTCCATTCCCGGCACTAATTGCCCGCAACCCTCAGGAAGTACAACTCGACATTCAACAAAAGTAGCATTTATCAATTATATGACGACATAACACCCAAACCGGATGAGCCAAGCAAGGAAGAAAGCTAGAAGGTAAACTGAACATCCCAATCTAATAAAGGGCCAGCCTAATCCAGGGAAAAATACTCTCCGCAGGCTTCGAAAAGGACATATAAACGTGGGAAAAGCGTAAAGGGTGGAGGAACGTGACTCCACCCCCCCCACGTCCCTCTCGCTTCCATGCGACTACCCTCTGCACTTGTCTGCGAACTGCCTTGTTTCCCCCCCTTTACCTGTCCCCCCCCTCACCCCCTACTCTTTATTTCCCCCTTACCTTCTCCCCCCACTTTCTCCTTTTGCTCCTCCTCTCTCCATCCCTCCCACCTTCCCTTTTTCTCTCTCTCTTCTTTCTTCTCCTTGCCTCTCAAACCATCCCTAGTTCCTCTTCTAATGAATGTCTTCCCAAACAATCGCAAATGGATAAAGAAACACACAAGAGCATGAGAAGTGGTAAAGCGGGCCGAGGCACATCAAAGAAGGAATTGCCAACGCCGGACACAGAATAGCAAAGTCCACCTCCTCCGACCTATCGCAACGTTACGAACGACCAACTAATAACCAAGAAACGGAGAAGGATAGTGGACCATGGAGCTGAAGAACACAGAAAGGGACGATGAATGAAGACAGAAAAGAGAGGCAACCCGGGAGCAAAGAGGAGGTGAGGCGAAGCGGCAGAAGGGGGAAATACATTGAGCGCCTACGATGCCTGAGATATCCCTCCGAAGAATAGAAGGACTATGGGCTAACGGCCCACTAGCCCAAATAAAGAGGAGGAAACAAACATAGAAAGTGGGTGAAAGAACGGGTTAGGGGAAAAAAGAAAATGGGGGGAGAGAATAAAAGAATTGAATAGAAGGAGCGAAGGAGAAAGATGGGGGAAGAGGGGCGGGAGGACGAGGAAGCAGGCTGAATAGCTGAGGTAGAGAAGGTGGTGGCAGGGCAGGGGAGGGAGAAGAAAGGTAAGGGGGGGTAAGGGAGAGGGCAGGGCAGAATGGGTACTAGATGCGTGTGAGAAGAACGGACTGAAGGACAGAAAGGGGAGGGGGCGGGGGGAATGCGGGGAGGAGGTAGAGGGGGGGCGGGAAAGGAGGCGAGGTGACGGCGGGATGTGGGAGGGGTGGAGTAACGGGCTAGAGGAGTGATTATTCATCGCTGGAGGGGGAGGGTCGCAGGGGGGTGAGTGTGGGAGCGCTGGAAGGGGAGCGGCTCAACGGGTGGGCGTAGAGAGTTCCTGTTGACTTTTTCTTATTTTTTTCTTGTCCCCTTCTGCTCTTATTTTTTTATTCTTTTCGGTCCACCCCTGGCACCCCCGGTCCTGCCGCCGATTTGCCACCACTTTTTTTTTGATTTTCTTTATGATGCCAGCTGTTTATTTTATTCGGCCCTGTAATGGCGATGCACTATTGTTTAATGTTCACCTTGAACTTCTTCGGGGTTTCTCACCCTGGTGTGAGACTGTCATCACTCCACTCGATCCAGGCCTAGTGGTTAATTGTTTTTTTTTTTTTAACCACCACCAACCTTATCCACACCTATTCGAATTATTATTTAATATACTTTTTCTACAGGACATACCCTATTATTCTTCCTTTTTTCATCTCTATGATGTATTCGTCATCGTACCGTTTTAATTTTTAAACTAATAAAAGCACTTTCGGGCAGAAGAATTAGGTGATGGGGTCAGTGGACATGTAGTGGGAACAGAGAGGCTGATGATGGGGAGTGGATTAGTCGAGGGGCTGAATTCAACCTCCCCCCCCCCCCCGACAACCCCCCCCCCAGGCAAAAGCCGGCTCCTAGCCATATCAGCAAGTGTGTCCAGCCAAACGTGTTCACCGTCCTTAGGACCCCAGCCAGGCAGTCGGGATGCACCAACCGACGCCAACTTCGAAGTGAGGGTTTTCATTTCTCGCGACCAAGTCATCACTTGGCCTCCCCTCCTCTTCTTCCAACCGCACCCACAACGCGCAAACAATGCACGTCGTGGGAGTCGGTGTGCTGGCATGCGCAAGACGTGGCCCAGCCATCGGAGCCTGGTGCGTGATATAATCGTGCTGAGCGGTTCACTCGCTCTTCCTGCACCAAATACGCGACGTCGAACACGCTCATTGCTCACGCGGTGTTCCCACCAGACATGAGCTAAGCTGCGAAGGCAGCGATGATCGAACGTGACGAGTCTCTTCATGTCTGTCGACCTGATGGGCCAGGTTTCACAGCCATATAGCAGAGTTGAACGGACGGCTGCGTTGTAAACTCTGCCCTTGAGGGCGAGAGTAATGTCGCGTCTGCGCCACAGGTGGCGGAGATTGGCAAAAGTACCTCGAGCTTTTGCTATACGGTTCGTAACCTCATCTTCAATCCCACGGGTGCTAATATAGCTGCCCAGGTACTTGAATTCCTGAACGACTTCTAGCAGATCACCACCAAGCGTTAGCACAGGATTGGGTCCCTGCCAATCTTGGAGAAGCACTTTGCATTTTGATGGAGCAAAGCATAGCCCAAAACGATTGACAGCCAGTGCTAATCGGTTCAGTGCTGTTTGGCATGTTTGGGAGCCGTCACAGATTAGGGCAATATCGTCTGCATACTCCAAGTCAAGAAGTCGCTCACCAGGGAGTAGCTCCACACCATCTAGGTCGTGTCCAGCGAACGCTGTTTCCATGACTTCATCAATAGCGAAGTTGAAGAGGAAAGGTGACAGCGGGCATCCTTGTCTCACACCGCTGGTGATACTGAAGGGTGGCGAGAGTTTGCCATAAACCCTCACCCTGCCCGAACTATGTGCGTACAGCGCTTTGATAATGTTTACATATTTATCAGGCACACCTTTCCTCAACAGACAGTCCCAAAGGGCACATCGATCGACTGAGTCGAAGGCACCTTTTATGTCAAGAAACACGACAACGGTGGGGCGCCAATAAACATGGCGGTGCTCCAACACTTGACGCAATGTGAAGTTGTGGTCGATGCAGCCCCGACCTCGACGAAATCCAGCTTAAGTTTTCTAAAAGTGACTTCCCAAGTGTATGTGTGAATTGCATGCCGCATCAGCCTACCAGAAACGCCTGCACAGAATATAGGATGTCGTCGTGCCCTTAATGTTTCAGATGAGCACCCAGTATGACCACCATTCTAAAAGAACGGAGTCGGTTATGATCATCTTGACCAGAAATATGAAGAAAGAAGTAGGGATAGCACAGCCCTGGCACATGCCATCGGTGGTGGAGAACTCGAGCGATAGCTTACCATAGACTGTCATTCAGCCTCAAAGATCGGGGCACAAAAAGTTAAGAATATAAAGGAGTCCCCATGGTAGGTTAAGGAAGAGCACGCAATATGATAGGATGATAAGAGCAAATGAAGTAAATGAAACTTTCAGATTAAGAGAAG